GCCAGATGATAATGGAGAAATTTACTACTTCATAAACAAACGGCAAATGACTTCATTGAGACAATGTGCTATAGGGACTGTAAAAGATTTGAGGGCAGCAGACTGTTTAACTTTAGAAGGAGAGGAATCTGTGATCACAGATCAGACAATTATTGTCAAAATAATCAAAACAGATGAACATGAAATATATGCTAATCAACTGAAGGCAACATGGACACATCCTACAGGGGATACCAAAATCTCTCAAATTCAGGAAGATAAAAATGGAGATTATTTTGTGACAGGAAAATTCACAAATCCAGGAGTTTGTAAACTAGATGTGAGTGCTGATGATGAACCAGTTAACCAATCACCAATGACAATCAAAGTAGAAGAGGGAAGATTAGTAAATACTATTAAAATAAATACAACAAGTATTAGAGATGTAGTTAAGTGTGAAGATGACTCCTTACTGGTTTCATGTGAGACAAATGAAATGCTCAAGTACAAGCAATCGGGAGAATATATTGGTACGGTTACACTACCACAAGGTGTGCTAGTTAACAGAATGTACAAAATGAAGAATGGTAACATAGCATTCAGTGATTGCAATGTTAATACACCTATCAGAATATGCAATATGAATGGTCAGCTGATTAAAACAATTAGTGTGGAAGCAAAGAATACACCACGGAGAATTCATGTGGATGAGACATCAAATGTTTTGTATGCAGCAGCAGGTTGGTCCAATAGCTGTGTGTACATGTTTGACATGAATAATGGCAAGACCATCAAAACAATAGGGTCACAAGGTACAAAAGAAGGTCAAATGAATAATGTCAGTGATGTTACTCTTACTAACCAAGGACACCTTCTTGTATTGGAGAGTGAATGTTTTGGTACTGGAACAAGTAGATTACAGTTATTTAATAATGAGGGAAGGTTTATAAAAGACCTTGTTGAAGCAGGTGATGAGGATGGTAAGGTAAAATATCCAAGAGCAGTAGTAGTTGATGAGGATGACAACATCATTATATCAAGTCAACACAAACTACAGCTATTCAGTAGTGATGGAACTTTCATAAAAAGAATTGATAAACCAGAAGATGGAATCAACAATCCAGAAGGATTATCCATCATTTCATATCATCAAAGGAGACTTGCAGTAGCAAATTATGGTGACAAAACAGTCAAAATATTCAATTATTAAATACTGACGGTCCACTTGCTTCACTTGTGTGTTTTTAACAATTCAAATTTATAAGTGTAGGAATATCTACATATCCATTATTTCATATCATCCACATAGAGTTAAGTTATGAATCTTCAAACTTAAAATAATTATTGAATAAAATAATATCGAAATATAAAGTTGGCATAATGTTTATAAACCTGTTAAAATATTTCATTATTGAATATGATATACATAGAGCTGAAGTTGTGGGTTTTTTTTTAAACTGTTAAAATATTAATTATTCTACATAAATGATATCTATAGAGTTGAAGTTATTAAACTGAAAACATTAATAATGTAATCTGCCAACCTCAACTGTTTATAGTGTAGTTCTCATCAAATTTGAATCACACACTTTTGA